GGAGAGGAGGGGAGGAGGAGGAGAGGAGGAGAGGAGAGGAGGGGAGGGGAGGGGAGGAGGAGGAGGAGGCGAAGAGGAGAAGGAGGAGGAGGAGGAGGCGAAGAGGAGAAGGAGGAGGAGGAGGCGAAGAGGAGAAGGAGGAGGAGGAGGAATAATAATAATCTAGTTTTCCAATCACATATGAAGGGCAGTATTTTAAGACAAGAAAGTAGACCAAGAACAGCAGTAGGAAATTAGGCCAGTGGTTCTTCAAGTGAGATCATCGGACCACTAGCATGGAACTCTCCAGGAGTTGCTGGCCAAAATCTCTAGAGACGAGCTCCTTCATGAGCTCCTTTGTGGGTTCAGCTAAGTTTAAGAATCGCAACCACTGGTTGAGACTACATTGTCAAAAAGGAAAAAAAAAAAAAGAAGAAATTTCTTCTACATGTGAGTAGCAGCAAGACATTGCAAAGTATTTTCCAAGAAGTGGAAGGCATGTACTTGCCCAATGGCAGGACCACGCAGAGATGAGCCATTTCAAGGTTCAGCTGAAGGGACCACAATGTCCGCTTCCAGCCCATCCTTTAGACATTTTTCTTGGTCACTGTCAGCCAGTTCGAAGGCTAGGTCTGGGGAATGCCTTATGGGATTCCCGACCTAGTTAGTCTCTTTGTTCTTTTCTGAAAGCCTCCAGAGGGTTTGGAGACTTGATAATAGGAAGATGATGGCCTTTGCCAAAGTCACTTTCAATTAGACAATGCATTTTTTTCTGTTTATAGACTTCATAGAGATCTGAAAATACTACTACTCTTTCTTGTGGAGGGACTACAGGAAGCTCTCTGATTAAGATAGATTTTGAAAAATGATTTCTTGGCAATATCTTCAGATTAGAAATAAATTGGTGATTAAAAATAGAATGAATGTTATATCTTTTCAAGATGTCATAACAATATATAGCAGCAAGATTTCTTTTCTATAGAAATATATATACATATAAAAAACCCAACAACCAAAATAGAGACTTCTCAGGATTATTTAAGAGGTATTGAGAACTCCAAGTTAAAAATAGCTTTTCCCAGACCCCAGGAGGAACAAGTAGAATCAGCAATTATTTAACAACAAGAACCAGGTCATAAAGATTCTTTAAGTCCTGTCTCAGGGACCTAGACAAGAAGACAGTTCAGCTCTCAGCTCTGCCATGCACAGCAAGTTAGGAGCACAGCACCTGAAGTCAGACCGACAGACCTGCCTTGCCTTTTAATCCCAGTGTTACCTCTGAGCAGTTTTGCGACCTTGGGCAACTGACAACTCTCTAAGCCTCAGTTTTCTCATCTGCAAAATGGGAATAATGATAGTAATAGCCTCCTGTAGGTAGTTGGGAGATTACTCAAGCTAACATTTGTAGGCCTCTGGCTCACCCTGTGTGGCACAGAGTAAGCACTGGTGCATGGCAATCATTGCTGTTATAAGGATTTCTACCACTTTCTGTAATGCCAACATATTCAGGACACTCGGGAAGAACTCTTTTTGGATGGCGTCAGAGAGGGAAAGAAGGTTGCTGTTTAGGAGCATTAAACGTCTGGATTTTAATTGTGTGTCTCCATGAAGTCGCTCCTCTGAGATCCAACCTTCTCTAGGAACTGTCTCCTGCACCCAGTTTCTCGCAGCAGGTGATTCCTGCACCTACCACACTTCGCCAGCTCGTTATATTCTGTCTTAGATTTTCTTTTAATCTCTTCATGTGCACAAACTCCATCTCCCTCAGCCAGACTATAGATTTCTCCTGGGTTTAGTTCATGCCATATGCCTCATGCTTCTATTTTTCCCTCTCTTCCAGCTCCACACACAGTATATATGTGGTGGGTAAATAAGTAAGAATAAGAGTATGTGACTATGTAGGTCACTATTAGCTCTCTTCTCCTTCTTCCTTCCCCTAATCATTGCAGTCATAATAATTAGATTAATAATAAAATCTTCTGCTTATTGAGTGCTTCCTGTGCACTAAATGAAACACTTTAAATGTCTACCTCCCTGGACGATCCACATCACCGTGTGACCATGCACTGGGTGGCTGCCAAGGGACTTGCGATGAGAAGAGCAATACCTAGGGACACTTTGCAGGCCTCACTTAGCCAAGTTCAGAAGTATGCTCTGAGCAAGGTGCCATCAGCTCCAGATCCTGAACAGAAGACACCAACCTCCACCCCTTTGTACCCATCACAATCCAACTGATGGTTTTAGTGTAACTGTTATCCAAAATTCCCCAAAGCAGAGATTTTGGGAGCTCCCAAACAGATTTTTAAGGACAGGGGACTTGAACCTTAGAGGGGCACAGGTTGAAAGTTCCTTCCAGTGTTTCCTGTATGTCTTCTAAGGTTGGCCATAATGCACATTAAGAAATACATATTATACTGCAAGTCAGGTCTATATCTCAACTTTTTTTTTTTTTTTTTTGATAAAATTTCACTCTGTTGCCCAGACTGGAGTATAGTGGCACCATCTCGGCTCACCGCAACTTCTGCCTCCCGGGTTCCAGAGATTCTCCTGCCTCAGCCTCCTGAGTAGCTGGGATTACAGGTGCGCACCACCACGCCCAGCTAGTTTTTGTATTTTTAGTAGAGACGGGGTGTCACCATGTTAAGCAGGCTGGTCTTGATCTCCTGAACTCATGATCTGCCTGCCTCGGTCTCCCAAAGTGCTGGGATTACAGGCATGAGCCACCGTGCCCAGCCTATATCTCAATTTTTTATGAAACAATGTTTATGTTTGTGTGAGATCCTCTGATGTTTTTCTGTTTCATTCTTTCTTTAAAAATGATGGCTATGAGAATGTGAAGAAATTGGAACCCTTCGACATTGCCAGTGGAGATGGAAGATGGTCTAGTCTCTTTGGAAAACAGTTTGACAGTTCCTCAAAATCTTAAACATACTGTTACCAAATAATCTAGAAATTCCACTCCTAGGGATGTATCCAAGAAAAACAAAAATGTACACCTATAGAAAGACCTGAGCATGAATGTTCACAGAAGCATTATTCATAGGAGCCAAAAGATAGTAACAACCAAATGTCCATCACTGATAAATGAACAAAATGTAGTACATCCCTACAATGGAATATTGTTCAGCACAAAAGAAAACCAAGTACTGATGTATGCTACCACATGGATGGCCCTTGAAAACGTTATTTTAAGTCAGAGAGGCCATTACAAAACCACATATTACAAGATTCTTCTCATATGAATGGTCCAAAATAGGCAACTCTATAGAGACACAAAGTGAATTTGGTTGCTGGGAGGGAAGATGGGGGACATGTGGAGTGGGCATGGTGTTTCTTTCCCGGGTGATGAAAAAGTTCTACAAGTAGACTATGGTGATGGTTGCCTAACACTGTGAATATAAGAAACAATTAACTTATACCTTGTAAGCGGTAACTATATGGGACATGAATTATATTTCAGTAGAGCTGTTTTAAAATGATGGCTGTGATCTAATAAATTGATTCCACCACTCCCAGTGGGTCATGCTGTCCTCGCCCCCTCCAGGCCCTGTCCTTGTCATGAGAGTCACTGCTTGGCCTAGACAGGGAGGGAGACAGCCCGCTTTGGGTGGGCGCTGGACTGACACACGGAGGGGTGAGCATGTTGGCAGATGAACGCCATCTGCCGTGCAGTATCCACAGCCCTCTACAGTGAGTGGATCTTGATCACTTTTTCAGCGGCACTTGCCCTGCTAGAAGACTGCATTTCTCAGCCTCTCTAATGGCTCAGGTGGCCAAGAACAGAAGCCCTTGGTGAGATTTCTGGAAGATTTCTTCCAATTTGTTTCATTGTGTTAAAATACACATAGCATAAAATTTACCATCTTCACCATTTTTTTTTAGCGTAGAGTTCAGTGGTGCTAAATCCATTCACGCGCTGGTGAAACCGCCACCAGCCTCCATCTCCAGAACGCTTTTCACCTTGCAGAACTGAAGCTCTGCACCCATTACACACTAACTCCCCACTGCTCCCTCCCTCCAGCCCTGGGCGGCCTCCATTCTGCTCTCTGTCTCTGTGAATCTGCTACTCTAAGAACCATGTATAAATGGAATCATACAGTATTTGTCTTTCTGTGACTGGCTTATTTCGCTCAGCATAATGTCCTTAAGTTTCATCCACTTTGTAGCATGTGTCAGGATTTCCTTCCTTTTTAAGACTGAATAATATTGCACTGTCTGTGTAGACCACATTTTTAAAATACATTCATCTGTCTAAGGCACTTGGGTATGCAAATACCTCTTTGAGATCCTACTTTTAATTCCTTTGGGCATATACCCAGAAGAGGAATTGATGGCTCATAGGGTAATTCTGTTGTTAATGTTTTTAGGAATTGCCACACGATTCCCACGGTGGCTGCACCATTTTACATTCCCACCCATAGTGTACAAGGGTTCCCGTTTCTCCGTGTCATTGCCAACCCTTATGATTTTCAGTTTTGTTGACAACAGCGGTCCTCATGGGTGTCTGGGAGTGACTCCTGGGAGTGGAGAGGCTGACTTGGACGGGGTGGTCAGCCCTTTTGCCCCTTTCTCTTCTTCCCACCTCCAACTTGAATGTGATAGCTCAGTCTCCAGAAGCTAGCTTATGACCCTAGGGAGGAATTAGCACCAAGGCTGGTGAAGCGCAGGAGAAGAGACTGGGTCCCTGATCCCTTTCTTGAAGGCACCTTGGCTACCTGCCTCTGCACTTTTTTCCAGTGGCTTAATGAGTCCCTACCTTGCTTACACGACTGAGTTGAGCCTCTGGTATTAGCAGCCAGAGGAATTTCCAAATGATGTGCCATCTAAATGAACACAAACTCCCCCCATTGCATGCGAGCTTCAGAAAGACCCTTTGAGGGAGAACAGCTCCCCTCCCACCCAGGCCTTGCCACCTCCCTTGCCCTCTGGAAGAACTTCTCCTTGAGTCCCCTCTCCAAATGGAGAGGAGGAGCCCAGTACCTTGTGATCTTGAATATTCTCAGCAGCCGGACGCATCTGAGCACGGAGATGCCCAGTGGGGACATGATCTTGGTCTCCACCAGGATGGTCTCCAGGATGCCACCGCACACGACAAAGCAGTCAAAGCGGTTGAAGAGGGACACGAAGTAGGCTTGCAGGCCCAGGCTGTACATCTTCAGGAGCATCTCTGCCGTGAACAGGGCCAGCAGGGCCTTGTTGGCCGTGTCTGGCAGGCCCAGGAGAGGGATGACATCCGAGCAGGACCAGAGAAGGGCAGAGAGGGAGGCAGGGAAAGGAAATGCAGTAATTATCTCCACTGGAAGGAAGATTCCCCATGACACCTCTCCCATCCACCTTGGCCGAAACAGAACAGTTAGGGCCAAGCCAATGGAAAGGGCTCTCTTGTCATAATCATAACAGACATTTACTGAGCATCTTCCATACACCATAGGCTCGGCATACATAATCTCTACTCCTCACGGCAGGCCTGCGGGGACGGCACCATCTTCATCACACCCATTTTCAGAGATGAGAAAGGAGGTTCAAAGTGGTGGGTAATCTGTGCAGGCCAAGCGCTAACAGCTGGAGCCGCACTGTCTGAGTCTGACTTCTCCACCACTAGAGCCCCTGCCTCCCAGGATTCTGGAAAGCAGCTGTGGGATGGGGCCAGGTCTTGACTGCTCAGCAGTGATGCTGAGGCCTGGCTAGCGGGACCCGAGTCTCGTGGCCCAAAGAAGCGTGATGAACATGAACGACCCATGGAAGACGGTTCCTTGTGCTCAGGCCCTATTCTCTTCCCTGCCTTTTTGCTCATTCCATCCTCACTGTTCTGGTTAAGGCCACCTCAGGGTTGCAGGAAGGCCCCCAGGTATTTAAAATCCATGCTTGGAAGTTGGCAGCCAGGGTCTGAGATAGGCACACAAGCGGCAGCTCCTATCCTTGTCACCAGGGCCCAGCAGTGACTGTGACAGGCCAATGGTGTGGGCCCAGTTAGGGCAGCCATGACTGTTTCTAACAATGTAGTGCATTTTATGGTGGGGCTTTGGAGCTGCCAGGCCCTTGATGTCTCCAGCACAGCACCTGCCAAGAGCCCTGACTATTGGCTGCTCTCCCATCCACCTTCTGCCTGTGGTGATGCCCTCCCTGGGCCTTGGGGCTGAGTTACCAGGAGGAAACCAGGACAGAGCTGGGGCTGCTGCTCACCTTGGACTTCTGTGAGCCAGTGGGGCTGGTTGTAGTGCTCAGAGGCAATGGTGAGCGTGTTGAGGAACACCAGGAAAATCACCAGCCAGTAGAAGACATTAGACTTGACCGCGGCGCGGCACTTTCTTCTGCAGAACCGATTCCATCGGCGCCAGTAGCGGCTGGAAAGGGGACAAGGAAAGAAGGTGGGGCTGGCTGTGAATTCAGGTTTCCTCGAATCCAGGATGCACCACCTTGGCTCTTCTCACCCCTCAGTGACCTGGCCTTGCTACAGCAGCCCAACCTGGGGGCAAGAAGCCCAGCTTCTCACCCAGCTAACCAGGCCCTGCCACCTTGGGGATGCCCCTGAACTCCTCCAATTCTCCCATCTGTGAAACAGGAAGAGGGCAGACCTCATGGGGTTGTTATGGGGATGAATCAAACACCTTATAATGCATCTGGCTGCATTGAAGTTGAAGGTGCTCAACAAATAGAAGTTTTTTTTTTTTTTTTTTTTTTTTAAAGTGGCATTCTTAGAAATGGTGTTGCAAGCAATAAGAGCAATATTAGCAACAGCGGTGGAGGGGCCCAGTACCGTATCAGACACTCTCACATCTTCTCTCCAATTCTGTCAATAACTCTGCAAAGCATGCATTATCCTGATTTTTGTGGAGGAGAAAACTAAGGGCTGGGAGGCTGAGTATCTCGACTGAAATCACAGCGGGCAGAGCCAGGCGTGGTGTTCTGCCCAGCCTCTTGGCCCTGACTCTGTGTGGCGCATCCATATGGTGGGAGGGGTTCACCTGGAGCACAGGCTCTTTGTTTTTCGGGTTATAGAATCTTTCCAGAATCTCGTGAATGTTTTTAATTCTGCCTTTCAGAAAAATGGGCACATCCCCCTACACACACCTTTACATGTGAGCCCATGCAGCACACAGACCCCTCAAACCTCATCCCTGGTCCATGGAATGCTCCCAGTATCTTGGTTTAGGGCCCTTTGTCAGTGATTCTCAAACCTGGCTACACACAGAATTACTCAGGGAACCCTCCCCAAAACCCCACTGGTCCTGAAGGCCCAACACCAAACCAATTAAATCTGATTCTCTGGGGGTTGGGTATTTTTAAATACCCCCCAAAATACCACGGGTGTTTTTAAGGTTCTCCAGTTGGTTTTAATGGGTAATGACGGTTGACAGCCATTGGCTAAGATGATCCCAAAGAAACATATTTTAAGATTCTATGGTGGAAGCGTTTTCATCTTCCTGATACAGAGAAAATATACAGCTCTATTTGGTTGAATTCAGTAGAAGACATGGTTAATAAATGGCTGCACTGCACAAGGAGAGAGGAACCACAGCTGGAGAGGTGCTGTGGAGGAGACCACAGGGGCCATGCTGAGGGCTTGGGGAGAGGGAAAGGACATGATCAGATTGGATGGAACACCCCACAAAAACAGCTCCTCTGTCACCTTCTAGACCAAGGAGAGTATGAGGAATTCTCTTCCTGTTCTCCAGGTTAGAGATGATGAAGGTAATAGATTTATTAATGGAAAAGATGACACAGAGCTGGCAGCGGTTTTGGGGGCAGAATCAACAGGCCCTTGAGATGGGTGGACGTGCAGGATAGAGGGGCATGTGTGGAAGAGACTGCCCACGTTTCCAGCTGGGGTGCTTTGGGAGGGTAGCACAGAGGAGGGGAGTGGAGTTCCAGGGAGGGGGTCAACCATGAGAAGCGTGGGGCGCTTAGCTTTGGGGCACCTGCAGGGCTTGTACACAGGCCCGCCAGGCACTGGAGACAGCTCCTGCTTGGGTAATGAAGGCAGGAAGAGAAACAAAGTAGAATCCTGGTGATAAAATACATGAATATCTGTATTTTTCCATAAAATGATCTCCTTTCTCTGATTCTTTCTAGTCTAGACAGACATTCCTCTAAATAAGCATGCAGAATCTGCCTCAGGGCAGAGATGTCAAACCTCACACTGCAGCCCATTAGTGGGTCATGAAATCTGTTGAGTAGGTCATGGCTGGCACTGAATAAAGGAATAGGGTGGAAAATATCACAGCGCATGTCATACCATAAGGAAATTGCTTTTTAAAGTAACCACTAAGGAAAAATGTATTTTACATAAAACTTTGTTTCTGGTGTGCGAGTGTGAGTGTGTTTGTGTGTGGCGTACTAAGTCTGGGTGTGAAAACTGGCCCTCCACTTTAGCACGAGGAAGCTGAACTGAGGGCCTCTATTCCAAATCAGAGTCCATGGTATGAGTCTGTTTGTCCAGTCTTCCTGCCAGAGACAACCATTAAGCCTCCGCCTCACCTCCTGGCTCGGGTTATGCTGGTGGTGGGGCAGCAGGCCCCATCTGGGTGAACCTGCTGCTCTGCGAATGGCCTATTCCTTCCCAGCCCCCGGGCACCTAGCAGCACCACAGGTGGGTACGCCCCAGGGGGCAGGGACAGCTGTGTGCTGTGTGCACTGTCCTCAGCCTCAGTCCTCTACTTCCACAACAGAATCCCCTCCAAACACCACCAAATTCCAAGATGTCAGGGACAACCAGTGTTCCGAGGTTCTAGGATGTGGACCTGGGCTGTGATGGATCCTGCACCCACCCCTAAAACTGCCTCTTGGAGTAGCCAGACTTCATCCACCTTTCTACTCTGCCATTTTTCTATCGACGGTCTGCAGAAAATCCTGTTACCAAGCCTTTGCTAAATCTATGATGAGGTCAGGAGAGTGAAGAGAGTAATCTAAGAAAGGTACTTTTTCCTCAGGACTGCAGGGAGAACTTAGTTTTTGGCCTAAAGAGCAGGGAGGGGAGAAAGGATTAATCCCCTTTAATCCTTTAAAGGTTCTGCTCTGGCTTGAAGGCCATCTCCAGTGAGTGTCACACTTTACACGAGACACTTGCCTACTGCTTGGGGGAAAATCCACTACACAGGGCAGTAGGCCACCCAGTCAAAAATATGGTTTCCAATCTGCAAACTGAAGAGATATCTGCACTCCTCCGTTGACTGCAGCACTATTTACAATAGCCAAGCTACGGAATCTACCTAAGTGTCCGTCAGCAGATCAATGAAGAAAATGTGGAACATGTACACAATGGAATATTGTTCATATTGTTCAGCTATAAAAATGAATGAAATTCTGTCATTTGCAACCATGGATGGAACTGGAGGCCATTAGATTGAGTGAAATAAGCCAGGCAGGCACGGAAAGACAAATTGTGCATGTTGTCACTTCTTTGTGGGAGGTAAAAATTAAAACAATTGAACTCATGGATACAGAGAGTAGAATGATGGTTACCAGAAGCTGGGATAGGTAATGGAGATGGTAAATGGGTGAAAACACACAGCTAAATACAATAAATAAGACGTAATATTTGACCATACAACATAGGAGAGAAGGATGGTAACTACAGTCATGACAATTTATCGTATATTTAAAAACAACTGAAAGAGTGGAATTAGAATGTTCCTAACACAAAGAAATGATAAGTGCTTGAGGTGGGGAATACCCCAATAATCCTGGTTTGATTTTTATACATTGTACACCTGGATCAAAACATCACATGCACCCCCATAAATTTATACACCTATTAATGCCCATAAACATTAAAAATGTAAAAAGTAATGATTTCTAAATGCACTTCGAAATTCTTGCACCCCCAGACATACTGCCCTGGATCTGAGGGAGGATGGTGGAGGGTGGACAGGGGGACAAAGGCATGGGACAATGAGCCCCAGATGGTCCTCTTGAGAGGTCACCTCTGAAGTCTGCCAGATCTTGACATTAAACAGTCTTATCTTGCAGGGCCTGCCTTGGCTTGTTTCCTGTGATTGTGATTATTAATACTGTGCAGAAACTTGGCAAGGTAGTTTTTTTCCCCTAAAAAATGAATTTTCAGGACAAACTCCTATCTGGTCTTAAATAGCTGACAGTGGAAGTTGCAAAGAACATGTTTTAAATAGATACGATCTCAAGTTCCCGGAATCACTGATAATTGTTATTCAGAGTCCAAAGCAATCACGGTTGCTTTCTTTACGTTATATAGAGCTGTCTTAGAGTGGGCTTATATGAGAACTTGATTATGCCCCTCTTTCCCAATGCTTGCGGGCAGTGGGTGTGGGTGCTGTGTGGTCAGGCCTGCTCCATGGATCTGGAGCTGCTATGCACCTGAGGAGCGGCCAGAGTGGACAGGATGGTGTCCCTTTAAACTGGGGTGCTCCTGAGCAGACCCATTTGGGAGAGTCACATGGATTTAGGCTGGGGTGGGGGTGGGGTAATTACTATCCAGAGAAAGTATTTAAAGATAATTATACACCTCCCACTCTTCAAAATATAGCTTTGCTTGACAACTGGTTTCCTGGCAACACTTCCTACTGTATAATAAATGTAATGGTTTATTAGAATGCGTAAATTTATTTGTGTTTACATATGCATGGAGGACACAGAAATTAAATAATAAAACAGGGAGGAGAAATTTGCCTGCTATTCATGTTCCCTTCACACTAACTGGAAGTCATTTTCTCTAGAAATAGAACCTTCCATATGTAGACACAGGAGAGAAGGTTGGATGTGAATGGGTCTAATCTATGTCTCTCAACTTTGGGATCACTGCATTCCCATGGGAAACTTCTGCTCTCGCAGCCCTGGCTAGGCCTGCCCTTCTCCCTATGCTGGGCCTTGCTCTTGCCTGTCCAGCTGCACGGCGGGTCCTCCCAGCTGCTGGAAACTCCACCTTTGTTCCATCCTCTCTGTCCCGCCCCTCCTGTGGGGCTCACACTGAGTCCCAGCTTCTCCACAATGCATGCTTCTAGTCTTCCGAGCCTTGGCACTCTGCAGTGCTTACTGTCTGCATTACTCATTTTAGTTCTACAGCCCAGAAAGATTTACTAAACACCAGCCATGGGCTAGGTACCAGATACACAGCAGCTAGCACAAGGCTCACAGGCCTCCTCTGCGGAAAACCGGTACGGAGATACAGACTACTAAGTGAGCAGTCACAGCAGGGCCTAAGAACTGGGTGGGTCCACATGGGAGCACACAAAGGGACATCTTAGCCAAGAAGGGTCCCCAGAGGAAATGAGTTGCCATTTCCTTGTATTGTCAGATACCTTTTATTTTTATGGTTCCTGCCTCTCCACGGAGCTCACAAGACCCACGAAGGAATGGGGCTGTGTCTTACACTTGGTTACAGACCCACAGGACTCAGCAGTCCATCCCTCACAAGAACCCCTGGCTGATGGCATGATTGAGCAGCACAGATGAACTCCAGGCAAATGTACTACCTCCCTCTGGAAGACAAGGCTTAAGATTCCTGGACCTCTTGTGATCCAGGGCTGAGGGCGGAGGTGAGGAGAGGGCAGTGCTCCTAAAATAGTTCCCTTGACATGCAATGGTGGGTGGGCATCTGGAATCACAGACAATATGAAAGTGGTGGCCCCTGTAGGCCTTCTAGTGGCTAGAGTAAGTTTCCACCTTTTTTTTTTTTTTTTTTTTTCCAGGACCAACAACAAACACAGAAAACCATTAAGTTTAATTCTCATGTAAATAAGTAACTTTACAAAGGCTATTAGAGATTGGGGCAAATTTGGATTTGTGCCTTGTTGCTGATGGTACTGCAGAAGTCCGAACACTGGAAGCACATTTCACTGAAGACTGGGCATGCTAGTCCTTCCTATTTTAGAATTCCGTGAGGTTCACTTCAGAACTCCATAAAGTTACGATCCAGAAGCTCCAACTTCTCTAATTAATCCCTTCAGGTTGCAAAAGACTTCCTGAATCATTTGTTTCATAACTGTTTACATTCCATTCTGAACAGAGAGCTCCAAATGTCACAAATCTTTTATTTTAACTAATTCCTCGAAGTGAAAACCTGGATTACCAAGGGAATACTCTACTATGGCTGAACTATTATAAGTCCATTAACCAGCCGAATTTTCCCTAAAGCTTCCATTCTCATATTTCCTTTAAAGAAATCTTGACTTTGGATCATTCTGTTTTGCAAATGGAATAGGCCAGGTTGAGACTCAAATTCCATTATCTGTAATTGTTAAACTGTTTCACCTGTGAAAATGATTAGGAATACTTTGATAATGTTTGTGGCATTTCCCATCTACTTGTAGCCTTTGATATTCCCTAAACAGACACCATCAGTGAACTGCAGAATCTAGATTAGACGGCTACTGTGTTACCTGCTCATGTGTGAAACCTCCAGGGCCACGTGTCCTTGTGTGGCAGCTGCTAGCAACATGCAGCTACCGTGCATGGGAAAAGTGGTCAGTCCAGACTGAGGCGTGCAGGAGGTACAAAACGCACTGAATTTCAAAGACTTAGGATGAATGCAAATTACCTCATTAACAATTTTTATATTAATTACATGTTGAAATAGTAATGTTTTAGAGGCGTTGGTTTAAATAAAAGAAATTTCCTATTTCTTTTTATTTTTTAACCTGCCAACTAGAACATTTGAAAAAGTACATATGCGGCTTGCATTATGTTTCTGTTGAATAGCATGGTTCGAAAGTTACACACTCTGTGGACACACTAGTTATGCAGGAACAGGGTTTACCAATCCTGGACAGAACCTCATTGCTAGGACGGTCCGGTGATTGGCAGCAGATCCCTTGGGCCTGGGCTCTGACTCAGCCATACTAGAGCCCTGTGATCTGGGCCTCTCTAAGCCTCAGGATCCTCATCTGGAAAATGGGTTCCAGTGATGTGCCAACCTACTAGCTCTAAGCCTTTAGGGGAACAAAATCCACTCTCCACGTTGCTGCCGCGTATTGAGGGGTGGCTGCAGAAGAGATGGTCAGGGTTGAACGGCCAGCACATAGCAAAGCCTCGGAGCCGAGAGAGGCTCCAGGGGTTTACAGGCACCACGGCTCTTTCCCTCTTGTTCAAAAGCACAGCTTGCACCATAGATCACTGGGTCAAAATAATGTTCCCAGAGTGCTCCAGGCAATCTCTAACTTGAGCCACAAGTACGTAATTTTCCCTTCCATCCTTTGGATCATGTTCGTTGATTCATTCATTAATTTCCGATTTACTCACACGCATGAAATGAGAATGATATTTTGGAAATATTTTCCAGTGTATTTTTAATCCCTTACTCTTATTGTGTAGGGGCTTTGGAACTGTTAAAAGCACAACATGCTTTCTCAGCTTTGACTGTCAGATATTTTGTTTGAATCTTCGTTAAGTCTGTTGTCTCACGGGGGCAGGATCATTCATTTATTAATTCACTCACTCACTCAGCAAATATTCATTAGGTCCTTGTTATACACCAGCCACTTCTCAGATGCTGGAGATGAAGCGGTAAGAGCCAAGCATTAGTGAGAGAGAGGACTTTTTATATTTCTGGAGCTCTTTCTCTGTAATAAGAGCTAGATCTGATGGGCCTGACCCTAGATTTTTTATGTAGAAGAGCTTTTGGTTTGAGGGAAAGAGGAATTGGGGAAAAAGCCTGTATTTTCTAGTCCCAGTGAAATGGGAGAGAAAAAAGGTATCGAAGTGGAGCGAAAGTCAGACACCAGGGTCCTCATTTAATTTTTAGCCCTTGGGTGCCACACTTCAAGAGGTTAGTGGGGGTTGCTTTAGAAACACCCAGATGGCCAGGGCTGGTGGAGAGCCTTGGCAGATCTTGGGAGAAGGTCACCCCTTGGCTTGAAGCTTATCCTGGCTGTTACAGAGGGCGTGATGGGACACGGGTAGGTCAGTGGGCCTGTCATAGTGCTGCTGCCTCCCCAGCTCCTTCAGGGAGTGTGAAGGACCTGGAAGTGTCTGTGTACTCCAGCTGAGGTGTAGAGGTGCTAAAGTCAGTGGACCAACAGAACTCAGGGGTCAGAGGGTGGAGGTGGAGATTTCAAGGCTAGAGGCAAGCAGAGGGCATGAACTGTAGTGGTGGATGCCCTAATCAGATGGACCTCAGCAGGCACCTGTTCAGGGAGCAGTTCAGCCTAATCCCATGCAGCAGAGATGAGCAAGCACCCAGAGGGCTTTGCGTGGCTTCTAGGACCAGCCCTCATCACGCCCTGCTTCCTGGCATCTTGATGTCCCTCTCCGCCATGTGTCCAGCTCTATCCAACAGAGAAGCTGGGACAGAGGCAGTCTGACAGACAAATCACTTTACCTTAAGGGACTGTTTAAAATACAGCACTGGGCTACATTTACTCAGCTGGATGAAAATTTAATGTTCTTTATGCTCAGCCACATAGTAGATAGGACTAGGGAATCAAGATTAGCTCAATTATGAAAAACAACCAATATTTTTTGGCACATACAAGCTTTGTGGTAGTAGATTCACATTCTCCCTGCACACATGTATCCACTCATTCATTCAACACACATGTATGGATGTTCACCACTGGACAGGCACTGAGCTGGGTGATCTGGAAATCACCTATGTGAGACACGCAGGCAGAGCCTCTGGAGGCAGGGGACTGCGAGCCAGTGATCCGGGTGTGATGTGTGATGTGCCGGGTGCTGTGACAGAGGCATCAGCAAAGCACCAGGAAAGGGGGAGCCGAGTAACTCTCCCTGGAGTTTGCAGAAGGTATTTTCCAGTCCTAGTGAAATGGGATAGAAAGCAGTAACATGGAAGCGGTCACATCTGAGGCTCTGAACAGAAGTCTGAGTTCTCCAGATGAAGACATGGGGGCATGGTTATTTAAGTGGAGGAACGGCTCCATGCAAAGGCCTCAATGTGCACCAGGACGGGGAACATCCATGTAACTGCAAGAAGCTCCCTGTAGGGGGAACAAAGGTTATTTTCACGGAAGTGCAGGAAGTGAGGCTGGGAGGCAGATGGGGGCGGAGGACTTTGGGTCCTTTTGTAGGTTCTGTCATTGTCAAGAGCAGTGACATAGATGGGCGTCATATTCCTATGTGCCTTCCATCATCCTCCAAGTTCATATCAAGTAGGTCATGCTAGTCACAAGGGTTCACTTTATGTTTCTTTTAACTGGACTTCATCTTAGAAGGGGGGAAGACACATTTGGTCTGACAACTTCCTAGGGACATTGCTGCCAAAAAGACAGCCTGAGATCATTCAACAGATACCAAACACTGAATTATTTGTCTGATCTGAGCCATAAGTTTTTTTTTTTTGATGGCCATACAGAAAGTAGTTACCCCCTTAGAAGAACACCCCTTACCCTACTGGCAACTCGTAGGTAGTACCTTGGGCCACCCAACAGGGCAGCTGAGGACAGAGCTGGTGGCAGAAGGAAGGAAGAGCAGCGCGTGTCTCACTCACCTGAACTTTGACTTGGAGATCCGGTGGCTGAAAGAGAAAAAGGAAATGTTACCAAAGGATGTACACACACCTGCATTTAAAAGATGTTCAACAGTCCCAGGGAAATTTGATGTTCCCACTGGAAGGAGGCATGGTATGAATTAGAACATCTTGGGAGAGAAAGAACACTATTCATGTATTTGAATCTGGAGACTGAGGTCTGGCCAGCTAGCATCTTCTAAGTATAAACACTCCTTGCTGCAGAGGGAGAGTACCGGGTCCTCAGGGTCTGCCCAGAAAGTTCCATGAGGTCAGGTTAGGAAGAGCTGTATCTTGAGAAAAACCACAGAGGAAGAAAGGCCTCTCCTGACGACAAGAAGACCCCAACAGCAGAAAAATCACAGGCAGGAACAGGTCAGCACAGACCTCACGGCTATCTGCCAGAGCCCAGCTAGAGTGGGGTTATGAAGGGAAGACCAGCAAAATGAGCCAGCCAGAAATGGAGGGGCCACGACAGCCCCCACCCCAGAGCTGCACAGGGGGCCAAGAACCAGCCACAGATTCCGAGGAAAAACCCAGGATGCTGACAGTCACATGCAGCCCTGAAGACTTGGGGATTTCTGGGCAGAAAGCCAGGGTGGGTGTGACGGTGGCTGCCTGGAAGGGTCATCGAATGGGGAGGGGGTTCCACAGAAAGGCAGAGCCTTCACGGAAGTCCTGAGACTCCCTCGTTCATGTAGGGAAGAGTCCAGGGGAGGCAGGAGGCTAGGAGAAGAGGGCAAGAGGGAGAGACTGTAAAAGAGAAGTGTGGAGGAGAGAAGGCTGAGCCAAAGACAGAGAGACAGGGAGAGTGAGAAAATGTAGGCAGCTGAGACAATTAGAAGACACCTGTCATCTTGGCTTTGGTGCTAGGAGAAGGGCGTGAACACTGGGGAGAGTGCAGGTGGTGACAACGTTCAGAGGGACAAACAGAAGGACAGAACGCAAGTTTGGAGACGCGGTGGAGCAACAAGGAGAAGCGTGGGGAGGAAACAGGAGAAGGGAGTCCGGGCGATGACGGTCGCAGGCCTGCAGTGTCCCAGCCCGGCACACAGTGAGCTGTGCTACAGAGCAAACCCCTCTCGTTATTTCTTATTAAAAAAATAAAGCCAGAAGATGTGACAGGTGGCAAAGCCATCATGCATGAGATAATTATATCTCAGGGGCACTGCGAATCAGAGCCAAGTGCCTTTACTGCTCCGTAACTTCATCCAACCCCCAAAGACTGCCTGTGAGGGCTGGAGGGCTTAATCACACGTTTTAACAGCCTGTGGGAAGCGGACAGGGAGCCCAGGACAGCATTGTTATTTAGAGCCAGTTTAACCAGCAAACAAATGTTTCCCAGCTGCCAGTTGGGTGCTGGGGAACTCAGGTGCTCTCTTCTCCAGCGGCGCCATGCTGAGCCCGGGACCTTCAGCGTCTTCCCAGGCTGCTTTTGGGTGGCTGTCTCTCCTTGCTGTTACCCATAAGCCCAAGTGGGTGACCGCGGACTTCAGCCTTGTCACTCTGACTCTAAGCCTAGCCTGGCCCCAGGCCTTCTTTCAGAAACATCTCAGTAGTCCTGTTGGGGGTGCCCCACGATGATGACCACCGGCTCTTTGCCATGAGGGGTTCTCTTGCTCGCAGTGCAAGTGGGCTCTGAAAAGCTCCCCTCTGGGGAACCTGACCCTGAGCGTTTTTCTCCCAGGGAAATGACCCTGGGAAGCAGGATCGCTGCTGGGGCTGATAGGAAAGGAGGCCCTGGTTCAAGCATGGTCATGGACTGCAGGTCCTTTTGTGGCATCTGGGCATATTCTAAGCAGGAAATGGACAGAGCCTTCTTGTCTGCTTTGTTACAGATCCTGATGGGTAAGCCTGGGCACCACACTTGAAGACTGATTTTATTGCTATTGTTGCTGTTCTCAGGGATTGTGAGCAGAATTTTAGGTTCACGGGGCCCAAAACATCATTCCCCTTTAAAGGCTGGCACATCTGAAAACTAACCAGCCGCATGGCTAAGTTCCACGTCAGGCAGGCTCCTGTCCTTGAGCAGGGGAGGTCCCTGCGTAGCGGCATTTGTCTGGAGGCCAAGGAAAACTCCATGGCTGTGGGGAGCTGAGGTGATAACGCTGTGAGGTCCGAACGCCTTGGTTCTTCCTGCTCCCTGTGCACATCTTGGAGTTAATGATTGGACCCCTTTGCCTCCTGGGAGGTGGCCCAGGGATCTGGGCAGGAAAGGTGCTCCCGCAGTGAGAGGACAGAAGCCAGGAGCCCGGGTGCCTTGGGGCCATGGTGCTGGTCCACACTCTGGGCTGGCTCACTGCAGCCCATGCCTCCCTGCTACTGAGCTTCACAATCTCCAGAGAACCCGGAGGAGAGCTGGGGGCTCTGGCATCTCTACGCACAGTGCGCTCAGAAGGCTTCCTGTCTTTCTCCACCCTTGTTGTTCCAATGAGGCACAATTTCTACCTAAGGCTGAGCAGACTGTTGAAGAAGAGTGAGGAGGGAGACAAGGCTGGTAAGGAGCACATGAGACCATCAGAACAGACCCACTGTGTGGAAAGTGAAGTTCACCCAACACCAGATACCTCCTCTGCCCAGGACTCTGAGACAAGACAAATCTCCTGGGAGACCATGATTTTCCTTCGTGGTTTTCAGGTTCAGAATTAGAGACAAACCCCAAACTCCTTTTCCCCCCTTAGTTACTCAGTTTGCATTTGTCATTATTTGAGAAATATTTGAACTTCTTAAGAGCTATTTATATTTTTAGCCTCTCCCCTCTTCTTAGAGGAATAAGTGCCATATGTTTACTACCTGCTGTGTAAAATAGTATTTCCCTGAATTATCCCAACTTTGCCTTTAACTTAAGTCAGATGGGACCGCAGTCATCATCCACACTAACAATGCATCTGACTCAGCGTCCTTAACTCCAGGACTTCCTCTGCATCACAGCTCTTAGTATTGGGAGGGTCACGTCCTGGCCTTGCCATGACATAGCATTGCTTCCACTCCTGGGTGCTGAGTTCAGAGGCTCCATGACTCTGGCCCAGAGCCTCCCTTTCTATGATCCCTCCTGCTCCTTGTCCTCACTGGATCCTCCCAGTCACTCACACCCTTCACCAGCCTTGACTACAGTCATGACAATGTTGCCCTCAGTGCCATAGACATTCCACACCACCTGGGCCTTCTGCTGTGTCTGCATGGCTAAGTGCCACCCTCGGTCACCCACTGCCTCTTTTGAGTCCTCGTAGGCTGCAGGGTCCACCAAGAAATATGGCTGAGTACACATTCATGGTATCAGTCTCCACCGCGGCATCAGTGCTGCCCAGCAATCTCTGGGCAACCTCTCGTTGGCTCACTGGTTTCAGTCTCTGTACTGTCCTTTAGGTTCCTGTGTCCCCGGACCCTTGCTTTGGGGGATGAGATGGCTGAGCTCATTCGGAGTGACTCCTATCACTGACCCCTCCATCAGTGCCTGTTTCTGATTCTAAATTCTTTACAGAACTTAGGCTTGGAGAGCTGGAAGGGACCCTTAGATACCGCGTGGACCTACGGTTTGCAATTTCTCCAGGTATAGAATGCTTTCTTCATATGAAACCTTGCATCACTGCAGGTGATTTCCGGGCTTCGTGGCCTCTGCTGAGACGTCAGTCCAACCGTCTTTTTCCCAGAGGATGGGGCTGAGGCCCAGAGCAGAGTGCTTTGGCCAAGATCCCAGGGCTAGCTGGAGGTTGGTGAGCATTAGACTCTGGGACTCCTCTTTCATTTTCCAATGAGGCCCAGGTGTAAAGAAACTCCTCCTCCTTGTGCAGGTTCCGTGTCTCACACTGGCTTTGCTGTCCCCTTCTCCCCTTCTGAAGCAAGGCCATGCTATCAGCACCTGCCTCCTCTCCAGCTTGTTTCACCTCTTCCTGCTCACTGACTTTTTCCCAGCATTGAAGCTTGCCCTCGCCTTTATTCCGGTGAAGACCAGCCCTTCCCACAGTCATGCTGCTCCTCTTCACATCCTCCCTTACTCCTCCACATCCATGGGTTCAGGGCCTGAGTGGGCACCCTGTCCTGGCCCGTTTCCATCCCCTCTCCCTCACTGAGACCGACTCCCAAGTCCAGTGCCCTGCAACCCCGAGGGGTAGCACCCCACAACACACACACAGCACAGCCCTTCTTTCCCTCTGCAGCCTGACCTGCTGCCACGTCACCTCGCACCTGCATCAGGCTCCTGCGGCTTCTCCTTCCTCCCTGCACTTTCCCTGACATCGCAGTGATCCTTCAGGAACTCAGGACTAACCGAATCAATCTCCCACTCAGCTCCATTCTGAATGCCCTTCAGTGACTTCTCACACTCTTCTGATGCAGACCCAAATGGTGAAGGATCTGCCAGGCCCTCAATAACTCACATTCATCCTTCTGTTCTCAGCTGGAATTTTAATCCTGCAAAGAAGCCTTTCCTAACCTGCCAGCCCAAATCAGCGATGTTTGTTATCACCCTGACATTACACTTGCTTTTCCTTCTTAACACTTACCCCAATTTATAGTTGCCTATTTATTTGCTTAGTGTCTCTTCCACACTAGACTGTGAACTCCGGTACGATGGTGTCAATTTCCTCCCATGCTGTGTGTCACCACTGCCTAGCTGAGCACCAGGCTGGGCAGACTGTTGAATGAATGCACAGATAAACAGCTCTGCCCTGAAATCCCTCCTCCCGCAGCTCCCAGGCCGGCACTGCTGCCTCTTCTCCTAACATTTCTTTGTCCGTTTTGCTTGCTTGGTCTTATTCTTCTGGGTGTCCATTTCCCAAAATTCAGCCCTTGGTCTTCTGTTTTTCACTTCACTCTGAACAACCTTGTCCTATAACCTCACTGGTGGTTCTCATCTCAACAACCTCAAACATGTGTATCCACCCAGTTCAGAGCTGGGACTCACACCTTGATATCTCGTGGTCTCCATGACACCTGCAGGTCACTCTGAGTGGGCTCCTGCTTCAGATTTCACTTCCGCCTCAGTATCCTCTTCCCCAGCTGTGATGGCTCCTTCTTCTTCATTACCTCCACCCGCCTGTCCCTTCTGCCATGAAATATCATGTTGCTGTTCTTTCCTCCCTTCCTGGACAGGAACCATCTTCATCCAGACCTTCTTACTACACAGCAGTCCTCGTTGTGACCTCATTTTATTGCATAAGACTTTTAACCCTTAGCTTTAAAGATCCTGGTCTCTCACTGTCCCCTCAGACCATCACACCCAATCTCAGTTCCCACGCTATTTCTCCCACCAGGAATGCTGGCAGAATCTTGGCCCAACATTGTCTGGGGCAGGGTGGGACGTAGGGAGATGGGGAAAGACCACATTTTATTAGGTGCATATTATAGTTCTGGCACTGTGGCTCAGCATTTCTTATGTACAGAGTACGAATGTGGCTGAACATGGGGATAACAGGGACCCTTTCTGCAGAGCTCTCCAGGCTGCAGAGCACATGCTCCAAGCAAACAACAGATGCACTGGAGATTGCCAGCTTCCATTCGTGGGGGTATATCACGTTCCCTTCCTAACAGAGCCTCATGCTCTCCTGAAATTTACTCTCCAGTGACTTCCTGGTGCCAGCTCCCTGGTCCCACCTGGTATGCGATTTGGGCCATCCCAAAAGCCAGAGTTGCAGGGCGTTTGATCATCTCGCTAAGCCTGGTCTTGTGGCAAGACAACAGAAAGGCCAAGAACGGATGGACTTTGAAGCCTTCCTACATGCCTTTCCCTAGAGTTGCTGTTTGGGACCTACTTCCAGAAACTCAAGTGCTTGTTTTGTATGATTCCAAAAGAAGAGGTTTGTACTGCTGCTTAAAAATGTAATTAGCATCGTATTTTAACAACATTTTGACAATAATTGCTTCCCGACAACGCTGAGAAATCTGCAGTGCAGACTCCCTGGTGCCACTGTCAGAGTGAGTGATACTGAAGTGCCATGCTCCCTGGAAATAGCGGCTGTGAGAGCGACTCCATCCTCGGCCTCATTCTCCTTCCCCCACATGGCTCCGAGGCCACGCTCAAGGCCGGCATTGCTGTGTTTAGACTCTTCCACAGCTCAGCGTTGTGAAAGGGCTGTGCTTGCCCAGGCTCTCTGTCATTCCACAGACAAAGAGGGAAGGGAGATGCCACTCCCCAGATGGAGCAATTCAAAAACACCTTGTATTTGGGACTGGTCTGACTCAGAGCCTCTGTTTGCAGTTCTTCCAGTGGCCAGGGTGAGCTTACAGTTGTGACACCCAAGGCAACAGAATGGCAGGCTCCACTGCACTTCCACTTCCCTTACTGGCAGGATGACAGGGCTGCAGGTAAGGACCCACATGCCAGTCTTCTCCCAATGCATCTTCTCACCTGTCTGCTTTTCTCCCAGGTCACATTTATCAGAATGGAAAGAGTAGGAAGCAGGACTCGAGACCCTAACCTCGAAAGACCCTAACCTTCAAAGCTGTCTCTTTGAAGAGGGGCGAAAGGGATTAGAGGGAAATAAACAGACTTTAGCCCCCCCTCCACACACACCCTCTGTATTTCTCAGATGTGATGAAAAGTGGCTCAAAACCCTAGTCAGCCCCACCCACCCCTGAAGAAGTGCTGAATTGAAGACTAGCCTCGATTTTAAGACTCACCCCCTGCCAGTGCCATTCTCACCCTAGTGCCCTCCGCTCCCCATCTTGGTTCCCACCTGAGGTTTGTTTCTTGCCACCGGCCCTAATCTCTGCCCTCCCTAGTGATGAGGCAGCCCATGCTGATTTCTAGATGTAGCTTTTCCACCCATGCCCCAGAAAAAGCCCCTGGGCTCGCCGTGCCTACTCACGCCAGCCTGGCCCCGCAGTTTTCTCCCTCGATGTCACCTCCAGCCACGTTTTCGGTGTTGACAGACTCGGTCTCACTGGTGGGCATGCTCACTGCAAGAGTCAAAGGGAAGCAGAGCAGGGCATTGAGGGTAGGGAGAGAGGGAGCAGAAGAGCATTACCCCGCAACACGCCCACCACCAGACCCAGTGCGGGTTGGCAGAAGGAGAGCCTGAGTGCACTGGCTGGCCGATCTGCATGGATCCCCTTTACCCACACGCCTGTTGCTTGTCCAGGGCAAGTTTGGCTGCCAAAGACACTGTAAACTAGTGGGAGTGTGGGAGGACATCTGGTGATAACAGCATTTTATGTTATAGGATGCATCCTGAAAAAAACTGACCATTGAATCCTCTCTCTCCTCTCCATACTATAGACTAGAAGAAGCTGCAGAGGCTTTTCCATTTGCAACTACCACTTGCCACAGAAAGAGGAGCTTTCATGAAAAGATATCATTTTTCCTTACTTCATCCCATCCACAGTCTCTAAGGGACTCCGTCCCCAAGAACAGGGCCCAGCCTGTGTGTAGAAAGGGCATGCCTGCTGCCTTCATGAGCTGCTGGGTGGATGGAGGCCTCCCCTTTCCTGTAGTTGGTTACACCCAGGAGCATACCTGAGACAGACGGCTTGAAGGGAATGGCCATCCCCAGAGCTAGGCACTAAGACTCAAACGAGCCCTGCAGACATCAGGAGTGAGGCGTGGAAGTGTACCATCCACAGTCCACACAATTACGTTTAAATGTGGCCAGAAGACAGCCTGTAGGGATACTATTTCCCCTTTCAGCCACTCTGACATTCCCATGTCAACAGGTTGACTTGGATATAAACCGTTTAATTCAACGTGTCCAGCCTCCTCCCAAAGGAAGCTGTGGGCTGGATTTCGAGAACAGCGGGAGTTTTCTAGCTTAGGACCCAGTTTGGTGGCTTTTATTATTACTATTTTCTTCTAAATAAAAGTTTAACTCAAAGAATTTTTCTTCACCTTCCATCACTCTCTTACTATGACACAATGTGGTCCTTAGTTTTGCAACCCTTATTCTTTACAGTGACCATCATATCCTTGGTCCTGGTTCTGCTATTCCTCCAGAATAGAGCTCCTCATCTGCTGAGAAAGTCACCAGCGCTCAGCAGACACAGAATCTGCCCTTAGTGAAGGTGTGGCCTCTGGTGACAAGTCCCCGTGGGCCTGCCAGAGCCCAAGAAACACTTCTGCTGGTTGTACGGATAATGTTGATGGATGTGGATTTTTCCCGGTTTTCTTTCTTTGGAGAAAGACAAGCCAGGTTGGTGAGAAGAGAATCATTTCAAGAACATGGAAGATACAAACAGAGAGTCCACGACTTACCGTATGTTTGACTGCTGTATGTGAGAGACCTCTCTGACCTTTTTAATAAAATAGGATTAAAAAAAGAAATCCAGATGTCATTTCATAAAACTCCAGGGCTGGATGAGGCTTTAGAAACTATCTGGCTCTAACTCGTCCTCCTCACTCCACAGGAGAGGAAAGTGAGACCAGAGAAGGGATGTGATGCCTGGGGTCACACGGTGTGTTCGAGTAGGGCTAGGACCAGGGCATGGGTGTTACACCCCCTGCATCATGCTCATCTTGAGTGCCCCAGCCTCAGCCCCCTCTGAACTCTACACCCTAGGCAAAAACAAGCTTCTTAAAGCCTTCTAGGTTCTGGGAGCACCACAGGAGGGCAGTGAGTAGCCAAACAAGGGTACTGAATTCTACAGCATTACACTCACTTGACAGTCTGAAGTCTACAGATGGTTTTAGGCCTGGGAGCTGGGAAAACAGACCTTCAGAGCTTGCCAGGAGCCCTGCTCAAACCACATTACGGAAGTCATAAAATGGAAGCACTTTGAGTCTTCCAATCCATCCATCTCCAGCCATTTCTGACCTAAGGTTTATTTTTTTATTTTTTTTAAAAAAAGCTCTCCGCCCTCCAGGTATCCTTGTTTGAAGGGCTGAGCCATCTAGAAAAAGTTCTGTGACTTTGTGACACTTCGTTCCCAGAGCCTTCTGTGTGAGTACAGGGCAGACCTGGGCACGAGAAATAACCACAGCATCTTCTAAATCAAAGCACTGCCTGCACTGGTTCTAACCGTGCATGCACAGTGCCCTCACTCTAGGCCAGCACTGCCCAAAGGAAGGCTCCTGGAGAAACAGCTCTGCCAGCTGTCATGCCTACTGACTTTATACATATTAAGCAATGATAAGGCAGTGGCTTTGAGAGGGACAGGATGCCATCCCTTCACAAACACACACACATGCACAACATATATACATATATACATTTGCACATACACAGAACTACTGTGGCACAAATCATCCAGAGAAACACCCTCCCATTCAGTCTGGTGTGCACTCACACACATTTACACACACAGAGCACAGGGGAACATTACCATGGCTTTCTGTGGAGTGACTAAACCAAGCAAACTTCCCTTTCTTCTGATCAAGCATGCCCGCCGGAGTGCCTCCTTTCACAGACAAGATGGTCAGTGTCAAGAACCAGGAACAAGACATCAACAGAGCACATGCAGTCAGCCACGGGCAAAAGAAAGAAACAAGGAACTCACTTTCACATAGAACATCCATTTTTATCACCAAAAATAAACAAAAAAAATCTCAAACCAATAAACCAAAACATATAAGAAAACATAACAAAACAGAACCAAACCCCCAACTCACATGAATTAACATCACAAAACAAATGATGGACCCTGGGGAGAAGGAATTGCTTCAGGAGAAAGAGTCTATCTGCATATCTAATGAGTAACTTTGAGAGGGTTTCCTTGGAGGAGGCTGCCACTCATCCTTCCTGCTTCCTTAGGAACCTGTCACCCTTTGCAGGCTCATGTGGGGTCACTGCTAAATTCTAACTGTAGCCCTGGTATTCCCTTCATCCCTACCCAATAGCCAGATGACTTGTCTTCTTCCTCACATGGGACCACACTGCAAAATTTTCACCTTTAGTGGACTCAATGGCTCCCTTGCTATTTGTACCTGGATGAGTCACGTGCAGGTGGAAAAACAACCCACTGACCTACTTGCTCCTTTGTTCAGTCCAATAATTCAATTTCATTCAGCAAAGACTCATTAAAGTCCTAGGGCTCACATCCAAAACATATATGTATCTGCTTTTAATTGGTTTAAATGGGCCAATAAGTTGTTAAATTGCCTGCCCATGAGTGGTCATTTGAGGAAGTTTGTAAACGAGGGAGAAGAATTCTGTGAGCTCCTGCTGGGTCCGGGCTACAGCTGAAGAGCAGTAGAATGCTCCCAAAGAGTGTGAAGACGCTAGCCACTGCACAGGAGAGTGTGAAGACACTAGTCACTGCACGGGAGATCTTGAAGACAGCAGCCACTGCAGGGGAGAGTGTGAGGACACCAAGCACTTCATGGGAGAGTGTGAAGACTCCAGCTACTGCATAGAAGAGTGTGAAGACACTAACCACTGCACAGGAGAGTGTGAAGACACTAATCACTGCATGGAGAAGTGTGAAGATGCTAGCCACTGCACGGGAGAGTGTTAAGACAATAGCCGCTATACAGAAGAGTGTGAAGTGAAGCATGGAAGAGTGTGAAGACACTAATCATTGCATGGAAGTGTGTGAAGACACTAGCCACTGCACAGGAGAGTGTTAAGACACTAGCCACTGCATGGAAGAGTGTGAAGACAGCAGCCACTGCATGAAAGAGTGTGAAGACACTAGCCACTGCACAGAAGAGTGTGAATACTCCAGCTACTGCATGGAAGAGCATGAAGACACTAATTGCTGCATGGGGAAGGGTAGGTTCTGTATGGACTTGAAGTTCTGGATGTCAAGTGCTTTAGCTACTTGCTCAGATAGAGTTTTTCCATTTCATTTGAAAGAACTGGCATGAGCTGTGCCTCCGTGAGGTCACTACGGAGGTCTGGGAATGAGAGAGGCAAGTAAGGCCCAATCACAACTTAGGTTGGTGCAAGAGGAATTGTGCTTTTTGCATTGTTTGAATTGGCCATTTGGTATTAAAAGACATTCTTAAATAAATTTGGTTATGTTATGCATCATTTTAATGAGCATTTCTCACTTTATGTTTTTTTATTAATGACATATTACTTGGTATTTATTTTATGTTTATTTTAGACTATGGAAGTAATGTTAGATACAGCAAATTCAAGTGATTTTAGTCATAAAGCAGTAGAGACAACTCACAATATCAGCTCATTTGGCCCAGGAATTGCTAACAAACAGTGCAGTGGTGGTTCAAACTGTAACAACCACTAACTGTGCTGTGCGGTGTGGTTCAAATAGTTTCACAAAGAAGGTGAGAGCCTTGAAGATGCGGATAGTGGTGGGATACGGGAAGTTGACAACGACCAATAGAGAGCCATCATCAAAGTGGATCCTCTTACGACTACACAAGAAGTTGCTGAAGAACTCAACATCAACCATTCTATGGTTGTTTGGCATTTGAAGCAAATTGGAAAGGTGAAAAACCTTGATAAGTGGGTGTCTCATGAGCTGAGCAAAAAAAAAAAAAAAAAAATCGTTGTTTTGAATCTACACAACAACAACAAATTATTTCTTGATCAAATTGTGATGTGAGAAGAAAAGTGGATTTTATATGACAACCAGCAATGATCAGCTCAGTGGTTGGATGGAGAAGAAGCTCCAAAGCACTTCCCAAAGCTAAACTTGCACCAAAAAAGTCCTGGTCACTGTTTAGTGGTCTGCTGTTAGTGTGATCTACTGTGGCTTTCTGAATCCTAGAGAAACCATTACATCTAAGAAGCATGCTCAGCAAATCAATGAGAAGCACCAAAAACTGCAATGCCTGCAGCCGACACTGGCCAACAGAAAGGGCCCAATTCTTTTCCACAACAAGGCAGGACTGCACGTCGCACAACCAATGCTTCAAAAGTTGAACAAATTGGGCTACAAAGTTTTGCCTCATCTGCCATATTCACCTGGCTTCTTGCAAACCAACTACCACTTCTTTAAGCATCTTAACAACAACTTTTTGCAGGGATAATGCTTTCACAACCAACAGGATGCAGAAAATGCCTTCTAAGAGTTTGTTGAACCCGGAAGCATGGACTTTTATGTTATAGGAATAAAAAAGCTTCTTTTTTGTTGGCAAAAATGTGTTGATTCCAATGGTTCCTATTTTGATTAATAAAGATGTGTTTGAGCATAGTTATAATGATTTAAAATTCACAGTCTTGAAGCCACAATTACTTTTGCACAAACCTAATATTCATGAGTGGCAGCGAAGGCAGGCGGGAAGTCAGTCACCACTTGCGGAAGGAAGCATGTGCCCTGCTGAACTGATGGGTAGCCCCATCCCTTCCAGGAAAGGCATGAGGGGATGGGCAAACCAAGTTTTAGGTTTTTCTTTATTTTATCGTCTTCTCGTAGAACACAGGTGGTAGTCAATAGACTTCTTTGAACGTTGCCTGGTAGGGAAAATTTTGGAGACTGGCTAGTGACAGAAAAGGGCCATGCCTATTTTTAACTGGAAGAGCCGTGTCTCACACACTCATCTTTAAGGTATGAAGCGTGGAATGAACAGAAACTTCATAACCGGCAGGGTTTTTTTTTTTTTTTTTTTTTTCATTTCTCAAAAATCCTACATGCAAAAAACACTGAGAGTTAGGAGCTGAAATGAACCACTTGGTTTGAGTTTCCCTTCTAGGGAAAGGTATGTCTCAAACAGTCACCAGTGTGGGACTCTTATAATGAATGATCTTTTATCCGGAGATGTAGGGGGTAGACGTAGGCTGCCAGTCACCACGTTTCTACCTGTGTTGTGACTGAGGGGAGGAGAGCCCTGCTCAGTGGTAGAGAGCCCAGAACATCAACACCTTCCATGCAGAAGCATTATTCAGCTTTTGGCTCTGACATCCTAAGTGTCCTGTCCGATTTCAGAAGTAACTGTATGATCATTTAAAAACCCTGAATTTGACCAGGGCTGGTCTTTCATGGGGGCCAAGGTGGTAGCCACCTGCATGGAAAATGATCTGAAGAGCAACTAAATCATCTCCCTGGATGGTTCGTGGAAGTCTCAGTTAGATCTTTCTTTTGTGGCATGTCATATATCTAAAGGCTCCATGCTGAAATAAAACATCTCACCTGGAAGAAGCAATATAAGAACATATTAGTGCCTATTAATTTGTGATAGTTTATCCCATAAGCACCTGAGGGGATAAAATGGTGAAAAGGTGTTTGTGTTCCTATTACCAAGGACTTACATAGTGGTATCAAAGCTGATTCCTCAAGGAAAACTTCTAGGAAGCTGAATGTCCAAATTGTTGAAAGTTTAGGATCATGAATGCTGGATACTTATTCAAGGGATGAGATGGAAAGCCTGACCCCACCCTTGGTCTTTCAAATGATGAGTTGGTTGGAAACTACGGGGCACCTTTTCTCTAAGGCCAACTCACTCCAATGTCCTTAGAAGTGAAGGTTGATTGTCTGCTTATCTGCAGGCAATGTCATAATAGCGCAACCTTTTTAAGGCACAATATGCTTTCTTGAATGGATCTGGGAAGGAGGATGCTGGGGAAGAAAGCTAGAGTGGAAGCTTGTTTTCCAGTTTTCTAACTTCCCTCTTACCAGATGCTGTGGACCAAATGCGTTTCTCTGGGCTATCCTGTCCCTTGCTTCTGCTGAGAAGACTCCACAAGAGAATGAGATTTCTTTGTAAGTGTAAGGGACATGTACCAGCAGGAGTGGCTGGCTTCTCTGGAGATTTGCTAAGAAAAATGCCCAGTCTCTATTCTGGAATGTAGTTGGTGGCTCAAGATGGCCAACATCATCGCATTTTTAGTAATATCATCATCCTCTCTTCCCGACCCTGCAAACATACACTCCTGGTGGCCACTCTTGCTTGAATAGTCCTTAGTAGGACTGTTTCTATGCCTCAAGAGAGGTGCACAGTTATTGTCTTACAGCAACCAATGTCTCCCCTAACCTGCTTTGGGGACAGTTGTGTGATTACTGGGGAGATTATAAAAAGTCACTTTCTCCCTGGGATAATCTCTTGAAACTGGAAAGCACACCAGCTGTGCTAGTGGAGGAATGCTAGAGCTAAGCTACTGTATAGATTACCCTTTCTTGGTGTTTGGGTTTCAAGCCTTTTGAGGGTTTACTTGATGAAATTTGGGAGTCTTCCATTAAACACCAGGTGGTGCTTTGAAAGTATGGCTGCACCGATCAGTGGGCCAGCCTTTCTACAGCTGTGGTCAACAGAGAATGGGCAGGCTCAGAGCACACAAGCCTCATTTTCCCCCATAGGAAATGGGCTCTCTATAAAACAAACGGCTCCCTTGATACTTCCCTATATTGCTGAAAGCAAGCCTCCAAGTAGAGAATCTGCTGCAGGCTGTGCCCATGTGTGTGAACACTCATGTTCTCCTTAAAAAGAGAACATTTAGCCACCAAGAGGCCAGCATGATGTGTGTCCAGAGATGACCAAAGCCATCCACATGAAT